ATGAAATCCATGGTACTACGTCTTTTGCTAGATAACTATAGTTTCTTTAAAGCACGTAGTTACTACATATCTACGAATTCTAATTTACATAGAACCTCTTCCCTTAATTTTCTATTAATAATACAAATCGTAGTAGGTACTAAGTTCTTTATTAACATTACAGCTACCAGACCTGTCAAAATAACAGATTGCAGATTTCTTATTTTACGATTATTGAAACTATAATAATGCCATTGGCAGTATTCACGTTGACTTTTAATTTACTGTACATTTTTATATTGTACTATATTATTCTAATTTTATGTTCAATGCTGGTTGTTCTAGGGAAAAACGCGTAGTGCCACGTAACGTCGAATGCTAACCAATCTACCGCCACGTTCCATCATATTCCACGGTTGAAACGTGCCAAAATAATACGCCTTTAATTAAGCCGTAGTTTCCAAAATATGTAGTACCTACTACGTCAACGCCCATCCCACCGCGAGTCTCGTTAGCGCGCCCCACTCGAAACTCTCGCATTTTTCAGCGCTCTACCATTTTTGCTCTAAATTGAATGCGTAAATACGTCCTGGTCATATTGCGTTAATAAACACAGTGTCCAGCGAAAAAAAAATCGCCAGTCTTTTATTTCAACGGTGCCCGTCGCTGTTCCAAAACTGTCCACGCGAAAAATTCAAATTTCGTCCTACTGTCGCGCCACCCCCCCCCCCCCTGACGGTATATTGTTCTGGGAGGCGTCTTCAGTGGACAGAATTTCGGTATTTGTCACGAGTTAAAAAGAATTCACAAGATTTACTTGAAAACTGGACCCCCGTCCACTTGAGAATAAACTTTTAATTTTCTTACTGTTGAGAATAAAAGCGACAGCTGTTACATAATAAATGGTAAGAGGATTTTTGTAGTTCTACGCCTACTACAGAGTTTCAATATCGAATGGAATTCTCGAGGGAGGAATTCTCAAGTGAGCACTAGCATTAGTCTCGAGAATCAAACTCCCAAGTGGACAGGTACCGTTACTCTTGGGCATAAAATTCTCGAGTGGACACGTATCGTTAGTCCCGAAACTAAAACTTCCAAGTGGACACATGACTTTGTCCTCGAAAGTAAAAATGATGAACTGTGAGAGACTATCCTACCAAGAATTTGCTCTATAGTTTCTATCTACTATGAATTCTACTTTCGAGGACAAAAATCCTTCAGAAATCGACGCAAGTGGACACGCGTCTTAACTCAGTAGGGTAGAAACGAGAATAATAGAAGAATAAGTTACCACAGATTTGCTTTCCAATCTATATCAATTACCGATTTCTATTCTCGAGGTTGAAACTCACAGAGGTCTATACTCAAGTGTATACGCAGCGTTACTCTCAAGAACAGAGACACCAGCTACGGAAGACCAATCTATCAAATCATTTCAGTCCAGTCTCTATTCAGCACCATTTACAAATCTCCCATACCTCGGTTCTCGAGTGAAGACGTGGCATAACCTCGGAACGCCTCTTTTTCACCGTCCTGTAGAAAGCACAAGATGAAACGGGGAAGAAAACGACGAGTTTTCGGTAAGAAGACGCGTGCATCCATCCTCGGTGAGCTTAGCATGCACTCGACGGGGGAGGAGCAGACTGCTTCCGGTAATGAAACTCGACGCTAAGAGGAACTTGGAAAGAGAGACAAACTGAACGAGTGAGAAGGATAGAGGGACGCGGCAGGCACGCACGTGGGGACGTTGAACGGTCTAAGGGATGCTGGAGGGGATGCAGGAGGTTGAGGTCGCATTGATTTTGTCTAGACAGGGTGGAGACTAGCTGTGTGGTGTCGTCCTTCGCTCACCGTTGATATTCCGGCAGCCAGTGCGCGCTCGGTGCACGCACCTGCCAGCCAGCCTGCAACTGCACTCTTGACCGGTGTGGTCGACTCTGGTCCCCCACGAAAACCGACCATTTTAGTTTTTTTTTTTTTTATGTCCTCGAGTTCTCGCCATTCTTCTGTCCCCTTTCTTCTCCTTTCTCCGCCATTTTTTTTTTTTGTATTCCGTTCTCTTTCGTGTTCCATCGATCTGGCGGGAAATTCGATCCACTACAATTGCGAGTGAAAGCCGTCTACGAAGCGACACCGGCGACCCTGTGTGCGGGTTCTTGCACTTTCACCCGCGACCGTGATACGATCCTTTTGGATTAGTGCCGTGGAAACGAGTGAACGATTCGTCTGACGATCGGTTTGCTCTTAATGGAACTTCGGTTTCGATTTCTGTTCAACCGCGAAGTGAATGTTTCAGTGTTATTGGGCGCGTTATTGTACGATGTTAGAGTTACTCGAGGGTCTAATGGGAGGATCGGGCGAAGTGCTGCGTGGAATATCGTTGAATGATCTGTGAGAATGGGGGTGTGCGTAAATATATTCATGGTTTAACGGTAAGGTGAGTTTGGTGTTTTGTTAAACCTCTGGATAGACTGTTTTAGACAATATCGTCGAGTAATTGTTTAGGACCAGACTCCACTATAGTGGCTCTCTTTGGGTAGCTACCATATTAATTCGTTTACTTCATAATAACAACAGGCGTATTCTAGCCGCGAATAAGTGATCGTGATCGTGGCTAGAACTATTGTGTACAGTGATAACACTTTTTGGCTAGCTCCTCTATGGTAGCTATAAAATGTTAACTGTTGGGTCGAGTCGAAAACACATTCCGTCATTTATATGGAAGCTTTATCGAACAGTAATTGAATGGGAATAAATGGAACAAAATTCCTAGCTGTATTTTAATACAAACTGAGGTAAAATACTGTCTAGTGATGGCATCGAAGAGAATGGAGGTTTCCTGTAGCAAAACCGTGACATTTCCATCTTCTCTTCTTGCTCCTTTTTTTTCTTTTCATTCTTCGGAAGTCAATAGATATTTGGAAGATATTAAATATCATGACATCACTTTATAAGTACTGTCGAAAGTAATTTTCCTGGGTTTCGTCACCCAGTGCACCTCTAAGCTCTAAATTGAAACCAGTTTCATCGTCATCAATCTGTTCCTGCAGAAATACAGATTTTCACGGACTAATTCACCCAAATTGAGATCAACCAGGAGTTCCATCGGTTTTGCCAGGTTCCAAATAAAATAACAATCTTCGTACATTTGATTATATTCGGTTCCAAATGAAATAACAAGCAGGTTCAATTGGAACAGTTAGGTTCCAAGTAAAATAACAATTTTTGTAAATATTACTATACTCTTCGGTACACTGACTTTCAGACAATCCAGTGCGCTGTAAACGCATGAGAATCCACAGTCCCTCCCGTCGTATTCATCTCTGAAAAATATTCTTTGTCGCGACTATTGTTAATTTTCGAACGATGCGCTCGCGCTGGTCCCTCATTTTCGCAAAACATCCATCGGGCCGGGTACCCTAGAAAGCGTACGTTTCGAGGCATATAATCCCCGATAAAGCCCGTTTCGCTTCAGAGTTTCCATTGTCGCGGTGTATTTGTGAGGAAATGAAAACGACACGGAGAGAGCCGTTCGAACATTTGCATCCGTCGCGATGTCGTCGCTACCTACCCTAAAAACCTAATCTTTAATCTGATCTTCGAGTTAATTAATTTTATACTCTGCTCGGAAACTAAATTAGAGGATCGTACATTGCAGCTGCTGCACACGTAAATACTTTTTTCACATGGAATTTTTTTTACAAGAACAAAAACCAAGTTCATAGTGCCTTCTAATTAACATTTGGCTTTCCTCTTTGTAATTACCATTCTGCTTTTCTCTTTTGTATTTACCAGTAGTATGTTTCGTGTAGTTTTAATATTCGTCAGATTTATACTTATATTTTAATGGGAATTAACCCGTAAATAAATAAATAAATAAAACTAGATGTTGGTAATACATGGAAATAATGTTAATTTATCGTTCCTATAACTTCTTTTGTTGTTTCTTTCGCGTGATTAACATAACAAGGTTGTCCACTATAGTGAGTTCCTAATTATAATTAAAAATTATATTAAAAAATTTCCCCCTGTAGTCTGTCTTCGTGAGTCTGTCAGTCGTCTTGTCTCGTTAAGCAAGAGGAGGCAGCAGTAAAAGCTTGGATCGTAAGGGTTTTCGACGGCCCACAAATTAATTCGTTTTCGCGAGGCTCCTGTCTGAGCTCGAAACGACGAAGCTAACGAAACGATAACTTTTAATCCTTGTTTAATTGCCAGCCGGGTATGAGGAGGAAAGGGGGACGGTTAATTGGTAACGCTCGCTAACAAAGTCCACTTTAATTTCTGTCCGACTCGAGTTTATAACTTGATCGGAGCAGCGTCGATAATTCTGTTAATTGAAAACCGAAATCTCGGCCCGAAAGATCGTTTTCGATCGAAATTTATCAATGAAATCGATTTAACCGTACATTCATCGTCCCTCTCATTTCGATCTCTGTTCTCCGAAGAAATTCTTTAATAAGTGAAAACGACGATTCCACGAGCAAGATACATTTTCAAATTACAAAACTTTCCTGGGTTGTTTAAGCCGGTGCACCAGCAATGATTCCTCCTTAAAAACTCGTTTCCCTTGTCAAATTATATATTGCAATAAAAATTGCCTGGGATTCGTTAGTATTCATTAAGACGTTGTGGGCAGCGTAAGCTCGTTAAAACAGAAGCTACGAGTTTCCTCGGGTCGTACTTTCATCACCTCCGTGGTCTATTCAATAATTATCGCGATGAAGAAATAAGAGACCGTTCTCTCAAATAACAGCTCACTTTTTCAAGCAACAGCAGAACAACCGAGTATTTAATTTTACATGAAATCAGCACGGTAATCCTCTCGTGGATTTTCCATCGTTTTAAGAAAGATTGTATTAAATCCTTTGAATATGATAATAAAAGTAAGATGAATTAAGTGTTCACCCATTCAGAAATGTACTGTGAGTCGTGAGTTCTCGGTTAATATGAACACTCTCAGTCAGTCAATAGATTAACTAAATAAGACCTACTCAAATTAAATATGAAATTTTATTTTTCAGGGACCCCCTCAACTCCAATCATGCCGGGGGGCACACCTGGAACTCCATCTTCCAAAACAAAGGTAAAACGATTATTTTCTTCATCATAAGTATTTTTTTAGTTTCTTTCGTTCCATTTTCGCTTTTATTATTTCTATATTTCCATGTTTTTTCAAACGCTGTTAGTAATTATTCGTAACATATTCTCAGCTTCGTCCATAATTTCGAACAGCTCGGCCAGCAGACTAGCGCTCTGATTGGTAGAGATTTTTCGTTAATATCTCGTTAACAAAGCCTCGGATGAAATTTTCGCTAAGGAAAAACTTATTCCAAATAACCTCACGAGTGACCTGTTTCAGGAACTTACATCACTTTTGTTTCACCCTGTATACGATCGATATATTAATTCGCGTCGATATGTTTGCAGGACAAAATAATGCTGAGAACGAAGGTCGTGGTGGCTCTGTACCCTTTCCGAGCGGTCGAAGGGGACGACCTGTCTCTAAAAAAGGTGAGTCTACATCGAATCCAGGCCCTTTGAGGGCAAGGACAATAAACCGTCGAGACCGTCGATTTGCATGGAATCGCGTGCTTGCTCGCGGACTGAAAACGCGTACAAAGTGTTCTATATGTGATTGAACGACGATAAAAGAATTTACGTTCCCCAGCATGTATGTAGATATACATATGCGTAGGTAGTATCTCCGCGTGGCTTTAATTGCATCGCAGAGGAGATGAAATTGCAGTGATACTTCATTTGAAACAGGGAACCTCGGCCGAATGAAAGCCGACCCAGAGTCGATATTCATTTTTTAATTGACCCTTAACATCTCCTCATAAGCTGAAAAAACGTTTTATCTTTTAGAAACTAATGAGACGACGGTAAATCGAAATAAACGGGGCTCAATTGATAGTTTTGCTTTCACTGTATTTCATAGAGCTCTGAAGTCTATAAATTCATAAAATCCGCGGTCTTAGAGATATTATTGTTTGTAATATTTTTTTGCTTACTATAATCATTGTTTATTTGATTTTGTGGAAGCATAATGAGTGGTATATATTTTTTTATACTTTGTTTTTCTTTGGACGATGGTAATCAGTCATCGAGCCTTCACGTTCTAGCCAATTCCAGGCACACACACTCGATACACCATCGTCACGTCAGAGCTACCTTCCCAGACCGTTTCGACGCAACGTAGACGATGTTAGACGTCCCCGGAGCAACTGTAACGCGTCAAGTTTCGAACACGATTAAAGTTATAATCGCGTCCGATGATCAAACTTTCGCACCGCTGATTCCTGTGGGCGGGGGATCACCGATCTCGATAATATCCCGCGTCGATCGTATTATCGGCGTGGAGTTTCTCCCCTAGTAGCCGAGCATCGTTCGAATTCCACGGAACACACCGGTTATCCTCTAATATGCGGATAGAAACCGCTTCCAGGTCCCATTAACACTTGGACATCGCCCATTTACGGCATATGGTGCTTCGTCAACCGTTTAAATCAACTGCGCGACGTTTTACAGCTTTCCGATGGGGTGGAAGGGGGAGGCTGTTGCCATCATCGATGGCCTGAACTGAAATCTGCGGTGGGAGCTTTGCCCTGGCAACGGTAACGGGCTATGGTTCGTTATTAGCGGTTGTGTATAAATTGGGACACGTGAATACAACACCGCACCGAAGTGATTAAAGTTCCTCCGACCCTCACAATGGTGGATTCTATCCGTGGCCCCGTTTCGTGGGTTAGACTTGCGGGATTTTTGGTCTTCCTGGAGAGTTTCGAAGACATTACTAGCAAGGACTTCTACCAAAACGTAAAATACCGGTATTTTCGATTGTTACTTTGTTCTATATAAGCCCTACTCTTGTAGGAACCGAAAAAATACCGGTATTTATTTCGGTTTTCGGATCATTCGTCGGTTAAAATAAATCGATACCGGCCACGATGGTTCCCATCGGCGGATGATCGAGCAATAAACGGGGGATACACTTTCCTCGTGGCCTCAAGAAAATCCGTGGCAGCCTCTTCACCGGAAACGGTTCCCGGGATTTTCGCTCAATTTCATCCGGCTCGATATGATACACCGGCGCAACATCGTCCCAATCCCTCACCCAATACATACGTAGAGGAGGCGGGGCAAAAAAAATTGAGGGAAAAACTGGGTCGACAGGAATACACGGGAAATATAGAAATCTCCAGGAACAAACACGAAGCGACGTTGAAACCCGCCGAACAGCCGAGAGACACGGTTTTCGTCGAAACGACGGGGATCGCGGTGGCCCCATCGGCGGTTGATGTAACGTTATTCGATTTTTGGCCGGACGCAAAAAGCGTTTCGAAAGCTCGTCGTGGAAATCCTCCCCCACCCCCCATGAAAGCATCCGAAACCACTGTCTCTCTTTCTCACCGTCCCCATAATACGGTCGAAGTGGTTCCCTGACCTCCACGGCGGTGAGGGTGGGGCCTAGGACTTTCAAAAGGACGTTCGAAGGTCGATAATTTAATCTTAAATTACGTGTTTTTCGTACGGTTCTAAGTATCGGGTTCCTGCAGGCGGAACTGACGGGTTTGCCGATAGCTGTGCTCGGGGCACGCTCTTGTGAATGGGAATTAACTGGAACAGGTGTCGATGGTCGCGATGAAATTTACGTCACGTTTGACGTGTGCGTTTTTAACCCTCGAATGGCATGGGCCTAGCCAGGGTGAGGGCACTTGCTCCTCCTGGACGGAAAAAAGTGGCTTTTGCCTCACCCTACAAGAAAAAAGAATTGGATTTTGCCTTCCCCCCCCCTGCCTTCCCAGAGTTACAAAATTTTTACGTAATATTTAATATTGCAGTATAATTTGAAACACGACCAACAACCTTTATTAACGAAACGCATAAATTTCAACGATCTATGACTTTAAAAACAAAATAACGTGTGTCTGACTACGTACGGTTTTTTTCACTTGGCCGTCGATGTGTTAATATTTTTGCCCTCCTGACAGATAACCTGGCTATGCCCATGTTGAATGGTAAGGTGGGTTTTAAGGTCGTACTTGGTAAACGAGCAAATCTTCCCCTCCGGAGCTACCCCCCCACTATGGTCCTCGGAATGACTCTGTTCGAAATGTGTATATTAAATATTCCAAATATACGGTTCGTCATAGTATTAAGCTCGTTGAATTCCAATCGAAGGCCCGTTAACTACTAAGCAACAAATCGTCCGTATAGTTTAGTTCTGAGAACGTTGAAATTTGCTAGCCGGTCCATAAACAACGGAAGCATTTACAACCCCCTTCCCCCGTAGCTTTTAGTGGCGTATACAACTACGGGAAACGCGCACGGTTTTGTCAGAGGTAAATTAACTTCTGTTATTTCAGGGCGCAGAGTACGAGGTGCTGGACGACTCTCAGGAACACTGGTGGAAAGTCAAAGACGAGCACGGGTGCGTAAACCTACCCGGTATACATCTGAAAGACACGATGCACAGAACTGTAGACACGCGAAAGCAAACGGGCATTTCGGAACGTTTCGAGATAGAGTAAACGCCTGTTGTAGTCTGATCGGAAACTGGACATATTTCACTGGCCTGATGTTTGATACTTACAGGGAGAGGTCCCAGGTGTAACGATGACTTTTAACACTTTGACTGCTAAGTACGAGATAACTCGTACTTGAAACATTACAAAGAGGCTGAGTTATTTAAATACTGTTACGAAATTTTGGTGTAAAATTAATATCGCGGTATAATTTTAAATAAGACAAACAGCCTCTATTAACTAAACGCATACATTTCCGACGATATATGACTTAAAATACGAAATCAAGCCTGTCTGGCTACATATGGCTTGTTTCACTGTGGCAGTCAACGTACTTCTTCTAGGATTTTTAAAAAACGGGTCATAATATGAATTTTCGAGTCGGGATTTGATAGTAATTACCATATACCATCTACTTGAATTACCAACTAAAATAACTACGTGTTAATACTGAATATCCTGTGAAAAGTAGTTTTCCTAAAAGTAGTTGTCGTCACGAATACATATACGTGTTAGATGAATTTCGAAAAAACTGTTGTTTTATATTTTCGATTCATTTTTACATATGGAATCACATCCTTTCAGGATTATATCACACCAGTTCGGAAACATCCTGTATATAAGCTATAAATTTAACAGTACATATCTCATAAAATAATAGCCACATGCGGCTGAAACAGATACCATTGGCTTCAGAATTCCAAGCTCTGTAACTGTGCTAAACCTCATTACAAAGTCAGCGTTACACCTGGGGACCTCTCCTTGTTAGCAGTCTGACCGAACTTAAGAAACAGTTTCCCTTGAAACGGTATTATTAATTCACCGATTGTTAATATTGGATTCCGCAGCAGTAATTCTCCAGAATAAATTGGCTACTATTAGTGCTGTTGATGATCAGACAGACACCAAAGAATTAATCCTTTAATCAACAATAGATTTATCTGTTACTTCTACTCCTAAACATGATATGCATCTGGGGTCCTCATTTCTACATCAACCTCCAGAATCCCAAAATCATTCAACAATCCTCTTACTTACCCAAGATCAATCCTCACTCTACTTCTCAACAACAGACAATCCTTCCTCAATTCTTCTAAAAACAAGCCTCCATTCCTCTGTTCCGATCAGGATCAATCATACTCCACGATAATACTACTCTTTCACCAAACCCTCTGAGCGGTCCAAGAGCTTCGTCCCTCGAGCAACAGCTGACTAGTCTCCGAAAGAATTCATATCCCCCCACTTTCTTGAAATCCTCATCAGTCAACACTCCTAGCCACTCTTCGAGACCCCAAATGGTACATCAGAATCTGGCTCCACGTCAAAGCTAAACTAATATGGCAGGCCCCATCAGTTGTGCAAACAGCGTCGCCCCGCCCAGTACGAACATTGTTTCCATTTTAATTTCAAGGTATCAGTGTCCTGTGTGTGTGTGTGTGTGTGTGTGCACGGTGTATTCGGGTGGCTGGGTGCTTTTAAAGGCTTAGCCCGCCGGAACCGTCGCTTCATATTCCGTAATAACTGCTTAGTATGCCCAAAAGCGGATTATACATCAGGGGGGGAGGGGTACACTGTGTTTGTTGATCGTCCTTGGCATCGCAAACACACGCCCGTAAGGAAACGGGCGGCTGAGCTCGTGTCAAGGAAACCACACGGATAGCCCAAGGAGAACCAGGACGGGACCACAATATTACTATGCACTTAATCAATGCGCGGACGTGCGTGAAATGGCCGATGATGACAATTTCGCGGTGTGTCGAAATGCCCGCGACAAGCCTTGCCTCGCAGAGCCGTTCGAACGACGAGTCCGTCGGACGGATCGTTATTGGCGACGCGTTGTTTCGAACAATATCGACTGGCGAGCCGCTAATTGGATCCCATTAAAACTTAAGTAACTTAATCTGACGTCGAGATGAGGGGGCGAGGGCCTGGGGAACTAAAATCGTGGCTTCGGCAGAGCCACGCTAATTAGTAACTGGGGTTTATATAGATCTGGAAGTTTATTACAATATTAAGCGCACCGATGAATAATCCATACCTCTGCCCGCTTGTTCGAATCCAGTGTTTCTGAGGACTTTGATAATCGTGGATTGGCGTAATGACGTTTTTACCGTCGAGGCGTTTTGAGAAGCTGTTTTGTCAGTTTGGGCGGAATTGTCCTCCGTTAGAATGTAGTTGATCAGTCGCCTGGTCGACATAATGGAATATAAATTACTCATCTTTATTTTGGTATTGCCTTGACTTTCGATAGTTTATCCAGTCACTCGTTTGTTCGTTTGTATTTTCATGTTCGTGTTGTTCACTTTCAGATCCATTGGCTACATTCCTAGCAATTATGTGATGGAGAAGGAGCTTCTGGGTCTTCAGAAATATGAGTAAGTATGCATTTGATTTTCTCTGTAAGGAACTATGTTTAGAGTTGCATGTACTGATTGAAGTCTGTCTCGAATTGCAGATGGTACGTGGGTGACATGTCCAGACAACGCGCAGAATCATTGCTCAAACAGGAAGACAAAGAAGGATGTTTTGTCGTTCGTAACTCTTCCACCAAAGGACTTTACACGCTTTCCCTGTACACTAAAGTGTATGTACTTTCGATCTTGGAATTGTTTTGCACCCTTGCTTCGAAGGGAAATATTAATGATACATTTCCATTACAGCCCACATCCTCACGTGAAACATTATCACATCAAGCAGAACACTAGGGGAGAATTTTATTTGTCCGAGAAGCATTGCTGTGGTTCTATACCAGACTTGGTGAATTATCACAGGCACAACAGCGGAGGATTGGCCAGCCGATTGAAAACCAGCCCTTGCGACCGCCCTGTACCACCAACTGCTGGCCTCAGTCATGGTTCGTAGTTTCCCAAGAATCGGATTTCTGAAAACATTCTCTTATGTTCTTGAAAAACCTAGATGCCTATTTGCAGATAAATGGGAGATCGATCCAGCCGAGCTACATCTGTTGGAGGAACTTGGCTCTGGACAATTTGGAGTTGTGCGAAGAGGAAAATGGCGTGGTTCCATAGACGTTGCCGTCAAGATGATGAAAGAGGGCACCATGTCCGAAGACGATTTCATAGAGGAAGCTAAAGTGATGACGTAAGTCGACAGTTGCAAGATGACAGAATTAGACAATCCCTCGAGAAAATTTCTCCAGATAAACATTCAATTGTTTCCATCCCCCAGGAAACTTCAACACCAGAACTTGGTCCAGTTGTATGGTGTTTGCAGTAAAGATAGACCAATATACATTGTCACCGAGTACATGCGACATGGATCTCTTCTTAACTACCTCCGTCGTCACGAAACAACATTGGGAGCAAACGTTGGTCTTCTGTTGGATATGTGCATACAGGTGGAGTTATTATTTTGAGTTCAATGATTTATGAATACCATTTATTTGTAACTAATTCCCTGTACTTCTGATTACAGGTTTGCAAAGGAATGGCTTATTTAGAGAGGCACAATTATATTCATAGAGACCTTGCTGCACGCAACTGTTTAGTGGGCTCAGAAAATGTAGTAAAAGTTGCTGACTTTGGATTAGCAAGGTGAGAATTTGCCACCTCATACATTATCTGTATAGCAGATATTTTAATTAATTGTTTCTAGGTATGTGCTCGACGATCAGTACACCAGCAGTGGAGGTACTAAGTTTCCAATTAAATGGGCACCGCCGGAAGTCTTGAACTACACTCTGTTCAGTTCGAAATCAGATGTCTGGGCATACGGAGTACTTATGTGGGAAGTATTTACTTGCGGAAAAATGCCTTACGGACGCCTAAAGAACACCGATGTGGTAGAAAGAGTTCAACGAGGAATCATACTAGAGAGACCCAAAGCCTGCTTTAAGGAAGTTTACGAGGTTTGTCTTCTAAAAGACTTCAGCTGATTTCATCGCAAGTCTGTTTACGGATCAGCTTGACTATTTGAACTATCTTTAGTCCAAGTCACTTTCAAACCATTTAAACACATGAAATTGTTCAAGCATATTTGAGTAATTAGACTACTCGGATTTTCAAATACTTCCAAATCAGTATATAGCTTCCTCGTTTAACGTACCAAATTTTTAGCTGACCAATTGAAAGTCTGTGATTAAAAATCAGTGATCCACAATAAGAGTATATATCAGTGTATCGTCAAATCTTTGACAGAGCTAGATTGCTAACTTCGCCATTCTTTTTAGGTAATGCGAAAATGCTGGGCCCACTGCCCCGAAGTACGACCATCCTTCCGCGTCCTGAAGGAACAGCTCATTAGCGTGTCTCAAGGTCTGCTCAATGATTGACTCAACCTTCTACGGTGTATGCGCCTATCGTCGCCTTCGAGCCGGTCAATACAGGCGGCAAAGTCTCCATCGCTCGAGCGATCGCCCTCGATACTACCATCCCCGAACTCTACGTCATCGTACAACTCGGCAACTTTGCCGTCGTCGCGCAAAAGCCGCTCGCCAGCCTCACTACCGCCCTCGGTCGATTTTCTACACCTGTCCTCATCCACCTGTAAATTGAAGAAAGAAGGGTCATCCTCACCGAGTACACCCGGCCACCAACCTAGTCAACCATCGTCAAGCTCGTCTAACGTCTGTGACATTTGCAGTTCCTACGGACACCCGTGGATTGAAATTTGCAAGGCGATACGAGCCACTAAAGGCAAATAATTTTCATGTGTGTGTGTGTGTGTCCCGAAAATACATACGTGTGTCGGTCCAAGGACCGTATCGCAGCTTACACGCCTGAAGAATCGATGCAATAAGAATTGATGCAATACAATTGTTCAACCCACAACGCCCACACTTTCCGACTCCTTTCACCCCTATCCGAATCTCGTTTACACATCATTAGATATACATATATATGTATATCTATACATATATATATATATGTACTTCAAACATTATTTTTCATCCATTGAACGTCGAACAAAGATTCGAGCGCGTGATATTCTTGCGTTTTCGCATAATTACATAGTTTCTCCCTTCCTCCCCCGGTATGATTTTCAGTCTCTTTATTCCATACAACGATATGGATGCATTTACGAATAGAACAGTAGTATTTATTGAGTGTCCTTGAATGGATATAAACTAGTAAGTTGTGACTCTTCCGTAGGAGCATATACTGGTCCTTTTGTTATTGACTTTTTAACGAAACACAATAACATTATTCTACGACGGAAAACATTATTTCTGCTTAACGAATGAATTTAATAAATGAATGTTTCACTTGTGTATTATATACTATGACAATTTAATAAAATAGAATAAAGAAAACGAGGGATTAGCGGAATTATTTATAGGTCTAGGCTACCCCGATAGTGAAATTCGTTACGATTAAGGAGAAGCTCAAATGATCCCTGTGATGCCGGCTGTTTCTTCTCGACACATGCTACTCCTAAATATTTGCTTTCCTTTGTTTTCGCTCTAAATTATCACGAATATATAGAAGTGAAATTATAATGGACTTAATTGTACGATGAAAAATTGAAACTACTTCCTCGCAAACACATCAGTATTCTTGTTCTCACTCGCACATTTGCACACTTTTGAGATGACATTGTTACATTGATTACAGGTAACACTTTAGACGTCACTATTATTCCCATAAATATTCGATTTATTTTAAATTTCTCTACTTGACTACCTACAAACAATTACGTCAATTAACGTTATTATTCCAACTACATTTCGCCTAGTTCTGTTTGGAAGTAATTGAAGTTTGGAGTTGGAGCGGCTTGTTACGAGTGTCACGTGCATGCGCGTTCATGATTCCAGATCGTCGCCCAACTGTAGATCACTCCTAACCTACTAGACTTTGACACAACATATAAATTTGCAAACTTAAAAGCAATTCCAATGTTTAATTCGAGTACGAGTGTAATTCATAACTTATAATAATCATTAATATCTCCCTCGAAGAAAACGTCATAATAAAATTGACGCGTGAAACTAGCATATGTGTACCATTTTACACTGTTTGATATCTACGAATACATTAGGATCTGAAATGTTAATAACTGTAAAGTAAATAAATGATAAGCATGCGATTTGTTATCGGTTTTACTAGTGTCAAATATTGCAGGTAATAATTGTAAAAAAAATTACGGTGTATCAAATAAACCATTCAAAGTAAATTTGATTGAGTTTTTACCTGTTTGCGATAAAATTTACTTCGTTAACATTTATTTTATGAAAATTGTAACATGTTTTTAAGTATTCCTTCGTTATAATTGATGTATATACATGTGTATTATTTATTCACAATGACTGATATAATAATATCTGATATAATGACATTAAGATAAAAATGAATTCTGTTCTTTTCTTTATTAACTTCTTACCCTGTTTTAAATATGTTTTTTCCAGAAGGCAGTTTGCAAGGCACTTTAGCGTCATGGCAAACCCATTAATTGCAGTGTGTCAAATGACATCGACAAATGATAAAGAAAAGAATTTACAAACTGTATGTGAACTTGCTAAAAAAGCTAAGTCAAGGTCAGCTTGTGTAAGTATAAAAGCAATCGAATGTTAATTATTCAACATTGCCCCTGATCATATAATTTTTTTAAATATTTCATAGATTGCATTTTTCCCTGAAGCATGTGATTATTTAGCAGATAATAAAAAAGATATAGTAGCTATGGCACAGCCATTGAATGGATCAACAGTAGCTTCTTACAAAGAAATTGCAAAAAATAATAACATCTGGCTCTCATTAGGTGGATTACACGAAGCAGTAAGCCATTTAAAAATACTTTCAAGTATACAGTACATTTCTTCCTTTTTTAATTGGTACTATTTTCAAATTCTACTTATAGTTACCTGACAATGAACAACATATAAGTAACACTCATATTATAATAAATAGTGATGGTGAAATTGTTGGAACTTATCGTAAAGCTCATTTGTTTGATATGGACAACAAGAATACTGGTGTTCGATTAATGGAATCAGATTATGTGTTACCAGGAAATGAAATCGTACCACCTGTGTCAACACCAGTTGGTAAATTAGGACTTAGTATTGTATCCTTTGTAAGCACAAATCATATTCCATTTTGGATGTAAAAAATTTTAAGTACTTGACCATAAAATTAGTGTTATGATATGCGTTTCCCTGAATTATCCCTTGCTTTGAGAAACATGGGAGCAGAAATTCTAACATACCCATCAGCATTCACATACCAAACTGGTGCTGCACATTGGGAAATAATATTACGCGCTCGGGCAATAGAGACGCAATGTTATGTTATAGCTGCAGCTCAAAGTGGTACACACAATAAGAAAAGAGTGAGCTGGGGTCATGCTGTGGTAAATAATTTTATAAATGTTGTATGTATGTTTTAAAATACTCTGTGTTATTACATGCATTAATTAGGAATTTTTATCAGATTATAGATCCCTGGGGAACAATAGTGGCACAGTGTAGTGATAAAACTGATATAGCCATAGCAGAAATAGATTTGGGTCTTATTCAACAAATTCGAGACAATATGCCGTGTGAAAATCATCGTAGAACAGATTTATATCCCAAAATAGGATCCCTAAAAGGTTCATTCTAGACGGTTTATAAAATATTTCTTATAGGATACTAGAAGCGGAATACAACTCAAATATTTGTTATTCATTTTTTTAAATATTTCATATAGATGTTTACAATTTATTGTAAACGTATTCATTTTTTTATACGAGCGAACGCTCGTGCTCAGTTTATACTATAAAAAGTAATTGAAAATGATAGTTTAATAGCTCTGAGATACATAAAATGTATTAAAGGTTTTAAAATACAGACATGTTACGTTTTTGTAACATACATGTATAAAACAAACATTTATTATAATATATCTTACTGTACATATTGTTTAATGATTCATGAATATTAAATATGAATACCTTTGTACCTTAGAAGTGTAGAATAATTGTAAAGAAGGTGCTACTCATACATATTGACAATTTTCGTACACAGTGAATAAAGTGATTAAAAAATTTCCAAGATGTAATTAAAAGTGTTCTAATGGAACGTGAAAGTGTTTTTTCAAGAAAATTATAAATAATATATTATCTTTTGTGCTAATTAAAATTATTAATTTATTTAGTATTTATTTAAAACTTCAGTTAGTTTCCAGAATGGCACATGAAATGTATTTTCTTTATTTGCTATCTGTAACACATAAATAATATACATCAAAAAATTATAATATAAAACAATCTATCATAATCAAAATTGACATACTTTCACTAGTATCTGTCCTTTGAGATCCTATAAGATCTGCTTCAACACCTTGTAATGCCCAATTATGTTCATATATTTCCAATGCTTCCCATTCTGACTTGAAAGCAGCTTTTGGATCTAGTGGCATAGACATTGCAGCCCCAGACACTGCATCCTGTTGAATTCTAAATGCATCTGCTGCGTTATTTTCCCCAAGAACAAGTGTGTAAATGGAACGTAATCCAAATACATTGAGGAAATACCAAGATGCAGATGAAACCCAAGCAGCATCAAGAGTAACTAATTCTATACCACGCTGCAACATTGGCTTGAAACGCAATGTTAATGGGAATGGCACTTTGGCTGAAATATAAGTATTATCATTGTACAGAAAACTAGCATTATACATTGAAATATTATAGAGTGCAAGAAATGTAAATAATCAATAGAGTTTAAAGTAGAGGTTACTTTATAGCCAAGCTATAACTCTTTAATGGTTAATAATCAATATACCTACTAGTAACAAAACCAGACAACATCCAATTAATCCACCCTCCTATGAGTACAGTTGGTAAAACGTTGGTTACATTTCCCTTTAACATGTCTATCATCATGTTGGGATCTGTCATTGGATTCTGTGATACAGGAGCACGTTTTTGTGTCTTGAAATACCCTGTCTCTTCATTATTGAAGAAATGCCTTCTACTGATAAATGCCATCTTTGGAATATACTGACCATTTTCTCTAAGTAATCTGGAGCGTATCATCACTTGACTAAAAAAATATTAAAGCAGCATTTAAGTCATGAGTAGTTTTAGTCGCTCAAAAATATCAAGTTCGACTTGTCACCTGTCCTGTACTTGATGAAGCTCAACTTTCTTCTGTGAGGCAAGTAATATCGAAACATAATGACGGATGATGCCTACGAGAAACGTTATCACTACGATTGGTAAGAACACCCAACCTCGAATGTTTGGATCCAAAAGCAACTCAGCCATGCCACTTTTCTCTGCTCTAAAACTTACGCGGAGGAAAGACGTGAATTGAGAAAATCAAACAGACTGAAGAACATTTTACAAAGGCAAGAAATTGTGCATGACGTTTCCGGTTCCCGGACTCGAGGAGCCCCCTGGAGGATATGACATAGTAATGATTCATACCTTGTCGATAATAAAGTGCATTCAATTCAACGCGATAAAACGGGTGCCCAAAGAGAATGGTGGCGCTATCTAAGGCCAACAAGATTGTATAAATCGCTTAATAGCTTGGGCATTTCAACGTAGATGGTACGGTAAGCCATTTCTGCATGGAATCACGTGCCATTAAATATCCCGACACAAGAGGGAGCTCCCATTTCGGCTGTTGAGTCCCGGGGTTATCGGAGTGGGGTGGACAACTATTTTGACCATCAGTGTATACGGTGTATACATTCACGTAACGCGATTCAGTTTCGCTGGCGCTATTACGGTGTGAGATTCGCGAAGTGTGCCTCCGAGCATCTCTCTCACGGTGAAAAGTGCGTCGCACGTAAGTGCGAGGCGTGATATGAAACAGTGAATCCGTTGCCGCGATACGAATGGACAGGCGAGGCTAGCCGCGCGTCATGGGATTGTGAAAGGAGTCGGGAGCGTGCATGAAGGCGGCAGGAAGTGGGAAAAAAAGGGCCAGGGATACAACGCTCACGCCCGGTTGTCACGACGCCATGTTTCCCCGAACTGGTCTACCGATGTCGAGTATCCCTTTGACGGTACTCTGCTTTTTCGTACTTATCGTCGCCGGCCTTGACGAATCCGGTAAGTCTTGCGAACACTCGAGCCGATCCGCCCGAAACGCAACCATATCCTCTTCCGTTGTTTCCCGTCGATGCCGTACGGACGATACCAACGAAACCCTATACATACTTAAGCGGGGGCAGGCACTGGGCATACGATATACCGCCTGTCATTTATCGTACTCGCGATACTACTCTCCCTTTGGTAAATTCTATTCATCCTGGATAAAAATCGTGGTGGCAGACTCATCGAGCTAAATGTTCGACGGGCAGGCGCGCGTGAATCCCGTCATGCAGCATTGATTAACAACAGAAGACGATATCTAATGTCACCGGTGTATCTCGATCGTTTAATAGCTTCAGCGGGTATTTAACAGATTCAGACGCTCAGAAGAGTAGTTCATGTATCTGCCATAAGTTCGAAAGATGAGGATGTAATTTTTGCAGCTACAACTAAATGACTGAGAAGTGTACAATATCGGTGAATTAGTTTCTTCGGAAACAATTCTTATAAGTACTTCTCAGTACATAAGATCGTCGTACTACGAACGCTGGGCTGAAAGTGTTAAGTCGTTTTATCTTCCGTACATCCTAGTCGCTTATCTGTCAGACGGTTACACGATCGTTGTTTATACTTCAATCTGATGGCACGTCGGTTGCCGGAAAATGTAGGATCAGTTTGCCGCGTGCATGTGTATGTACTGTACACACTGTTTTGTGTTATTGTGTTCGTTAGAATCTATATGAACAGATATGAGTACGTATTTGTTGACACTTTTACGATATTCGATTAATGAATTTTTCACCGTGAAAAATTTGCCGGTAGTTTGATTGCCGGTCAATCGATTTCCGTTTCGTTCGACCACTACGCAACACGTTTACACACGTTATTGGAAACGGAAATATCACGTTCATGTAAGAATTCTGATTTCTGACGTAAATTCGAGATTATATTCCATCGTGAGCATTCAATCAGGAAACTTGAGAATATAATGCATACTGACTGCGGTGTTTGTATATATAGGATGACTGATATAACTTGACGATTATAATGATATTTCTGATGTATTTGCTTCATTCTAATATTGTTCTGTGAAAACAAGAGCATCAGACACTGAGTAAATAATATTACAACATAGTACGTCTGAAGCAGGTGCTTATCGAAATATATACAATAAATGCACGATAAAAACTTTGTACTTGTTATTTATAAAACAATTAGATACCGGAAACTAGTTAATATACTACTAAATAATTCACATGTTATAGCATAAAATGAAAATTTCAAATGGCGTACTACATAATTTCAATTTGCTTGATGTTAAAATCTTGATAATTCAAGGTGACCTTCGAAATGTAGTATGTAAACAACGGAAAAAATATAATCTTAGTTCTACACATTTCTTTGCACAGAGAATAATTTATGAGTAATTTTAAATCATCAGATTAGGTTAGTAAATCAGAATAATCTAATCAATACTAATAGTCTAAAATTACAGACTATCCTAGTAGGAAGTCTACAAATTATTTTAATTTTATTACTTTTCTCGAGGTTCCTTTTTTAGTAATGCAAAATAAATCTATATTTGTATTATCTAGCACCAGAGTTAACTATTTTAGAAGATGAAAAATTTCTTAAACCTTTGTTAGGTTTTTTTTTTATCTAACACGTATAATATACACGTTCGTGTGTATTATAAAAGCGTAATACCTTTTTTATACTATTACAAAATTAAAGGTTTGACGATGAAGATATGAAATCAAGTTATATTGTTCACGGAAAATACGGTTTGTTTACATAAAGCTTATAAGGTGTAATTATCGATCTTACAGTGTAACGGTTTTAATTGACACCGAGAAAGAATGCCGATTTAAAGACCATAGAAAATGTGGCATTATTTAATGATAATAATTATTGGCCCTTTGTTTTTAAATATACAGTGTACGATATTTGATTCATGATCGTATACGATCGTATCATATAATGCAACACGTAATTTAAAGAAGACACTTAATATGAGAAAGTGTCACTGGCCATTGAGTCACCGATGCTATCGCGATAATAAACGTTATAAGCTCATTAAATAAAGCATTTATGAAGCATCATTCGTGCCTTGTATCAAAGGCAAAAAATTCCAGAATTGAAGTCAGACTCCTAATTCGGTGACTTCTATTACGAAATTTTCATTTTTAATTATGACAAATGTCTTTTTATTCACTTCGAATGTATTATTTTCCATTATCTTTGATTTCGTAATGAATTAAGTATGTGTAATGTAAAGTAGTATACAAATATATAATTTATAAGTAATACAAATGTTTACATGTCATTGAAAAAATTTAATTACGGTACGAATAATTCTTGTCAACTATTTTACTGTGCAATAATTTCAGACATTAAAATAAATAAGTTGTGAAACTCGAAAATTCTTTGTTTTTCGAAATAACGTTAGCAAGACAAAGTGAAGGAGTTTTCTACTTATTTGAACTGTAAAGACAAAACTTGGCCAATTTATGTGACTCCACTGCTACCATCATAATGAATTAACGAGCCAACTGCTTGCTTCGTTCACACTACTTGACAAAAACTTCTGTTCATACTGAGCATCTTGAAACATCCTCCAGTGAAAGCAATTTCCATGAACATTTTCATCTGTTCAGATCTACACCTGATTAAATATTAATATAATGTTAAAATTTATGACTTGTATCAGAGAAATGTTTGCAATGTAAATGTTTAATGTATGTATATATTGAGCGAGTTTTGTATGTTTCTATACAGGTGTAGAAAAAATAGAAATCACTGAACGAAAAAATGAAAATCCGTCAACTCTACTAATCACAGCATCACAAGATTTAGAAGGTATTGAGGCTGGTAGCACACCTTCTTTAATATGCAAACTTAGTGTACCGGGACATATATGGTGGACCAGTAATGGAAAGAATCTCACCACTATTAAGGATTATGATTCTGGAGGCCGTTTGGATATTAAGCAAGCTAGCAGAAATGATACAGGAGACTATAAATGTATGGCACAAACTACAGATGGAGAAGTATTGGAAAAAGATGTTCATATCAGAGTCATTGGTATATATCAATTTCAGTGGTTACAAGTATACAGGCAGATGGAAAAGTATTTGAACACTAAGATTTTTTTAAATGAGGTGTATGCAGAAGTAATGACCCCTTGTCCATCAGAAATCTTTATTAATATTGAATAATTGCTAAAGCATTTGTTACTTGAAATATTTTGCCCCATTTCCATTATTTTTAACTACATTTGTGGCAACAGTTGAATTCTTTGTCAACAAAATACAATAAAACCACAGTGTGAACTTCAATATGCTGACCATTACATTTGCATACAGCTAATACTAAATGTACTAAACAGAGTTGTTTAGAAGCTTACTATGATTGAAAGTAGTAATAGAAATTTATATGGCATACTTAAACATGTATAAAATTACATCAACAAAGTGGATGTGTGTGCAAATACTTTGTTTACCTATTGATGCTGTACTTTTATAACATTTAACTTTTGTTATTTACTTCTTTAGCAAGCATCTATTTCTATTTCAGAACCAGGTCGAATAACACCTGAAGATGACATTAGAGCCAAAGTAATAGAATCAGCTAACTTAACTTGTCATATGCACGGTTATCCATTATCCCATTTCACATGGGTGAAGGGGAACGATTCGGAAAGTACTGAACATTTAGCCGAATTTGCCAGTATCACACAAATAAATGACACCTACATCATATTGATCTTACAATTTCCAAGTTTAACACGTAAAGATAATGGAACGTATATTTGTAAAGCACGTGACTATAATGGTGAAATCAGTGCGTATAGACACCTTTTCGCAATTGACGTTCCAAAAGTAAGCATTGATTTCATGAAAGCTGTTGGCGCTGGGAGTATATTTTTGAATTGGACTGTGAACGATGGCAACGAGCCGATTAAAAAGTATTTTATCCAGCACATGAAAAATGGAACCGACCAGTATCATTATTACGCTGAACAAATTGGGGGTGGTAATTCGAGTTACGTTTTGAAAGGATTTGAAAGCGGTACAGCGTATCAATTTGGAATCATTGCAACAAATGTTGTGGGAACATCCCGAGTGAGGTTCGATCCACGTTGGATCACCACTCTTAAAAAAGGTATGGGTTAACGTATTATTTTCGTCGTACTCACTTTAACTTAATCTTATGGATTACTTTATTAAAATCTGTTGTAGATCCTATATTTGTGCCAAAGGTGTCCGTGAATGGCGTCACAGAAAATTCAATCACGATAGGCTGGACGGTACCACCGCCAGATTTAAAGGAACATGTTCATTATTACAATTTAATGGCTACGCATGAAGAACAAAAAAGAGAAGCAGTATACCCTGCGCAACCGTTCACAGTATACGCATTCGTTGATCTTGATCCCGCAACCACATACAAATTTAAAATCGCTGCGTGCAGCGAATACACAAAAGAATGCGGAAATTGGAGCGTCGAAGTGAATGGCACTACTCTCGATGGAGGTAAATCAGCAAACAAATTTAGTGGTGCCTGCGTGGCCTCGAATAAAAAAACCTTAAAGTAGAAACAAAATTGAGACTGATTGTTAAATATCAATTTCAGTGGCTAGTTCTCCTCAGAACCTATCTGTCAACTGTAAGTTCGATAACATAAGTAGTTCCAGTTCCATATCCATCACATGGGTTCATCCAGAAAAACCGAATGGTGTGATTACTCGTTACGATATAAGATTGACGGGCGTCGCCAAATTCAAAAACGGTATGGGTCGTTTGGATGAAGATAGTTGGGGCCCACACATATTGAGCGTTGACCAACGGAACGGTACACATTTCGACAAAATACCACCCAACACGAATTATACGGTACATATATCTGTGTAAAGCCTATCTAAAAATTAAGAGTTCTTTACAACGTATTGTAAACGATAATATTTTGTCGAAAGGTTCGCGTACACGGTGTAACAAGGATTCGGACAATAGGGAAAGACGCTGTTGGTAATTGTACTACACCGGTTACGATTCCAGATAGGGATAGTATGAATATGCGATCATGGCGAAAAATTGAGAATCAGGGTAAACAGCTGTTTAAGCTGTACCTTCCGCGTATTACCGAAAGAAATGGTCCCATATGTTGTTATCGAGTTTATCTGGTCAAACTGGCACCTCAGAAAAGTGTCACTGATTTACCACCGCCCGAGGAAATCGATATAGTTTCATACAAGGATGCTCACAACTCACCTTCCGGTGGTGCTTACGTTGCCGAGACGTTCGATAGCGATCGATTAATATCCGAGATCTTTCTTGGTGATGGTGAATCGTCCAATGGCAGCTCCATGTGTGACAAGTGTATTAGAATTCGACCAAAACCTACTCAACCATTATTACGTGTTGTTCCCGAAATTCAAACAACTATGGCACCACTGAATACAACGCCTGCAATGACCACAAATCCTGCAACAACAACTACTACTACTACCACCACCACCACCACAACTGCTCCTCCTCCTACTACTGCTACAGCAAGTACTACTACTGTTGCTCCAACAACTACCGTCGTCACGACTCAGAACATAGAGACGACCGTTCCAAATCTAGTGAACGATAATAACACCGAAAATATAGCTAGAAAGAAAAGAGACAATTTGGTCACTCAAGGAACTCCGGTAGCACAACCTTTTTCTTCACAGGATGGTTTTCTGGATGAAGAATCGAATTATACTGGGTTCATTGAAATTATCGGTATGATGGATATTTATAATTCTTAACATATACAAAATTTATAAAACGTTTTACTCATGCGAATCAAATTGATTTGTAGTGTTTGGGAACCAAGAGAATCAATTTCTGCCAGCCTACAGTAATTACTTACCTCCGCTTTATGGGGGGTTAGATCCGAGAGCTGCGGTGTCATCGGACGTGAATAGCCTCAGTGTGATTTTACAAATATCTCTTGCGCTTATATTAATTATCATCATCCTTCTCGTCGCGCTTTGTATATTGCATAGATATACAAAGCGTGCGGAGCAGCGAGGCGAAGAGATTATCACCCTGAGAAATAGCTTCAGGTAAACGAGTGTTAAATAAGTATTATGATGTTTGGGTATATAAGATTATCTATGCAATAAGTGCCATTTTTGGCAGGCATCTGTGTAGGAGTCTCAGGGGAAGACATCAGCTCGTAGCAGCAAGTCCGCCGGATATGCCTCCTATTCCCAAGACCGAACTTCTTCAGTCGTATCTCGAACGGCACCGTGACTCTGATTACGGCTTTCAACACGAATTCGAATTACTGCCGGACAGATTCACTGACCGCACCACCAGAGCTTCAGAGGCACGCGAGAATCTGTACAAAAATCGTTATCCGGATATAAAATGTTACGACCAAACCAGGGTTCGTCTGGCACAGATGGATGGTATTTGTGGATCCGATTACATAAATGCTAACTTCGTTCTCGGTTACAAAGAACGGAAGAAGTTCATATGCGCTCAAGGTCCAATGGAGAATACCGTCTGCGATTACTGGAGAATGATCTGGGAACAACATCTTGAGATGATACTGATGTTAACGAATCTCGAGGAATACTCGAAAACAAAATGCGCGAAATATTGGCCGGATAAAGGGGAAACGAAGAACTTTGGAGACATCACTGTCGAGCACATTCGAGAGAGGGCCTACTCTGATTACGTTGTTCGTGAATTAAAAATGACACGATTGGGTGAACGAGATGCCCGTACGATCGTTCAGTATCATTTCCTAGTCTGGAAAGATTTTATGGCGCCGGAACATCCTCACGCTATATTAAGGTTCATAAAGAGGGTGAACGAAGCTTATTCACTGGAAAAGGGGCCAATATTGGTACACTGTAGCGCGGGTGTTGGGCGAACCGGTACACTTGTCGCGTTGGACTCATTGCTGCAACAATTGACAGAGGAGGGTCATGTGTCGATCTTCAACACGGTGTGTGATCTACGTCACCAGAGGAATTTCTTAGTGCAATCGCTGAAACAATATATTTTCATTTACCGCTCTTTAATGGAAATGGCCCAATACGGGGACACTGAGATCCCGGGTTCGCAATTCAAAGCTATGATGACAAAATTGCGACAACGAGATAACGGCAAAGGAAAGTGTAGAATGGAGGAAGAGTACGATGTAAGTAAAAGTCCGGGAATTTTTTAGTCAATACGTTTCGCGCCTAGGTCTTTTCACGTGACTTTCCGTTCATCGGTACATACCAGAGAAGGGCAAATTCATTATCTAGATAAAAAGTTTCGAATAACGAATAAAAGATGAAAAAAATATTTCGTCATTTTTACTATTCGAATAAAATTGTGCCCATCTCTAGTACATACTATACATTTTTTTATACTGTACATCATATGGGGTTTGTCGTGGGTCACCGACCGCCTACTTGGCACAGAACGTGTTAATATGTATACGACCAAAATATTTTTTCCAATGGATACGCTGTGAATGATACCACCTTGTGTTTTTAGAAAATCAATTCGGTATTGGAAGATAGAAAGTCATTCTCTGTGGGCGGAGGAGAAGAAAACAAGAGCAAGAATAGAAGCGAGTTAATAATACCGTACGACAGAAACCGGGTGATTCTGACGCCTGTCCCTGGCAGAGAGCACTCGACGTATATAAACGCTTCGTTCATTGAGGGCTACGATAATTCCGAATCGTTTGTTATCACTCAGGATCCGCTGGACACCACTATCGCAGATTTCTGGCGCATGATTTCGGAACAATGCATTTCCACGATAGTAATGCTGTCTGATGTAAGCGGAATTTTGAATCATTTTTAACGATAGCTACTCGTAGTCCATTAATTTTATTAATTCCTTTCGGTTCTCTTGTTGCGTAGGCACAGTACATGGCACGCAACTCGCGTATTATCTAAACTGTTAGTTTCATAACATAGATTCTAGCGTTTGCATATCGTTAAGATATAGATACATGTAGGGTATATGATAGGAATAGTCGGGCGAGAAATATTTTTGTGTCTCCGACTTTAGGTGATGACAGCGTAAATAAATGCATTGCATAAGAAGATATGTGTGAAATTAAATTACGCTCTCTTCAATGTAGTGACTCGTTTAAGTAAAATTCTATTGATCGAATTAATATTGTTTACAGTTGAACGAAGGTCCGCGAAAATGTCCACGGTATTGGCCCGACGACGAGGCTTCCTACGACCATATAAGAGTCAGATACATTCAGAGTGAGAGTTGTCCATATTACACTCGTCGTGAGTTCTGCGTTTCCAATACGAAAACCGATGAAAACGTGGTCGTTACGCAATACCAATACCACGGTTGGCCGACAGTCGAGGGAGAAGTACCTGAAGTTACTCGCGGTCTCATTGAGCTGGTGAACCAAACGCTTACGAACGACACAGAATCGAGCGGGTCGCTGGTCGTGCACTGCAATTATGGATCTGACAGGAGTTCGATGTTCGTTGCTCTTAGCATACTGGTACAACAGCTACGGACTGAAAGACGCGTGGACATTTTCACAACGACGAAGAAGCTGCGCTCTCAGAGACACGGCATGATCAGCACTTTTGTAAGTACCTTTTATCATGAGAAATATAAAAGTCGTGTAGTTTACAAGTCAAACAAATTCTTTTTCATAATTCGATAAAAAACTTAAACTTTAATCAAACATTTTTAGTTATCACATTGAAGATCTTTACTTTGAACATTCATTATTGATCCCGTGTTTTGATCTGCTACAGGAGGCGTTACATTATGTGTGAAAATATTGTCGGTAATCTTTTCATCTGAAACTCGATTTATTGTTCCAGGCACAGTACGAATTTCTACATCGTGCTGTCGTGAATTATTCAGATCTGCATAATTTGGCTGACGACGAACCAGCGTCTTAATACTACAAAACGTAATATCGGAAGACCTTAGGTTATGTTCGATAAATGTGTGCGCAGAAACATTTCACGTACAAAAAAGTGTCTGGAAACGTATGAATGCTCAAGAGAACGTATATTGGGCCAACCAAAGAAATCGCTAATGTATTGGTGAAAATATGATTAGAACATCCTTCGAGCCAGACTGACACATACACGTGTGCATAAGAGACTGTAAACTGTTGGAACTTGAATGGCTTATGCACAGTGTATCTTAACCCATGTGTACTAAAGACATTCGTACGACACGGAATGAGCAGTAAATACCGCTGATTTTCAAGCTCGTAGGATTAAACTGAATGCACAACTGGTTCGATGACTAAATTAACCAAACGTTTGGTTAATTGTTCCAAAGTGCGGTACAGTGATGACCCTCGTGATACTATTCTCTCGACAGCTATTGTGAAGCTATTCGAATGACTCGTTTTTATCATTAATACCGAGAAAGAAACACGGAACTGTGTGTTAAAATTCTTGTGATTGAAATGGAACATTGGAGAAAAGCACTGACACAGTAGAGAAAGTGCTTTTCTTTTTAAATTAACAAGCATGGCTATTTGATGGACTAGTGAAAAGATGAAACATATTTGTAAGACGTACGAATAATCTGACTAGTGGACCATATAGCTTTACCGATCTAACATTCAGTCGTGTATTAATTCATATTGTAATTGGTACGCAATATTGAGATTTGATCTGGAAATGCAAAATTGCATTGTACCAGCGAAATTATAATCCATAAAAGTCGACAAACTTTTATGTATTATATTGAAATTATCTTTCTGTTTGGCACTACACATCGTGTGTGTCCTTTTTTCACACGATCGAATACGACCGGTAAAGCTCAATATGGGTTTAAGGCTGAATTGAAACTCCCCTTGTATTCTTCCAAACATTTGTACCAACACGCGTTGTTGTTCTATCGTTCGATGACAAGGAGAGATCAAACTCTACTATGATCTATCTTATATTACGATATACGCTAACGATATCACGCACCCATGTGTGTAAGTTTATCTGTAAGATACAGTGTCATATACAAGCGTGTACACGTGACTGCGCTAAGTTTTCTTGTAAGAGGAAGACTGAAATTCTTATTCATTTTCGAAATGCACGATGAAACAAAGAGGCCTGAAACCCTGGTTCATACGGCATCCAAAATTTTGTGAATCGCGACACACGCGAGTATCATTTCTTTTTTTTTTTTTTACTTTTTCATACCACAAGAAATCTAAACGGGTCTGCCTGCGTATGTACGGTATGCCCGTAAATATGCTTTGTGAAGTCACTGATGAAACGTTACGCATAATTGGAGGGCTTACGCAGCATAATACGAAATAGGTTTTTACTTGGGGTGACTGAGAGAAACGGGCAGTTCTTATTTCCTAATTATGGGAAACAGAAGAAACAGAGGTTACATTGTTCCGGAAAACGAACAGAGTTTTCAGTTGCTGTTAGTATTTTATATGGCAGTAGATAATGCTAAAATGGAAAAGATAAAAATATGTCGATGAGATTAATGTGAATAAGGAAAGAAAAAAACCGAACTCTTTAGAGAATGAAAATTCCGGAATTGTCAGTACATACATTATATTCCTTCGCACGCTCGTTCATTTCTAGTCAAGCGATTTTAACTCCGGCACGTGCGCTGCTAAGCCATTCACTTATGGCAGGGGACAATCATATTATAAATATCTTTCTTCTATTTTTTTTTTCTTTTTTTAAATCGGTCGACAAACGTTTTTTCTTTCCTTTACTTTTCTTTTGTCATTTTCAGTCATTTCAGTTTCCATTCCATTCCGTACTAATAATGCACGTTCCCTACTCGATGTACATGTGTGTATAATCGGCTCATTACTCGAGAATCAATTTAGTTGCTAGTTCGCGCTTTGATTATGTTGTAATTGATAGAAAGTTTAAGGGACATATTATTCTCCGTCTGTAATTATATCGTTACTATTCACCTGTCGCTGTTGCTTACGTATTAATGAACGATAACAACAATATTTGTTTTTTTTTTTATACTCATGACACACTTGTTACAGGTATAAGTGTTCTGTGAAGGTACAAAATGCCTACGAATTTCCGCTTGCTTCGGTTCTGGTACGTAACTGCCATGGATTAGAATTCAGAGATATGATTCTATTGGTTACGATAGTATGACACAATCAAAGGGCCGTTCTATACAAAAAATTTGATACTGAAACAGATTCCATTCTACTTGCGTTTAGATTTTGATAATTGTACATAGATATTTATATGAGTATATTTCAGTAGAATTTTGTGATAACACACTGCTTTCTAACGTCATGACGTTATTCTTTTTTTCAATGTATTCAGAAAATCAAATACTATGTATCAGTTTTTTAACACAAATATTTTTATCACGGTAGAAAGATTTAAACATTTTGTACGATGACTCAGAAAGAAGTTATGTATACTAAATTAACGCGCACAACATACATGCATAGGTCCAACAAACTATTTGATATTGCCAAAAGTACAGTCATATTATTATATATGGAAGACGTTAAAGTGTTTCTATTCGTGTAATCTCATGAACTTTTTCTACATTTTTTGAAACGGAATTTACAAGCACAGCGCCTCACTTATAACTGAATCTAACTATTTTAATTTATATTGTTACGTTACTACCAGTGAGAAAAATAAGTGATGTTTAAGTACAGAACAATAACTGTTATTTATAGAATCTGCGATTTTATTATTTAGTAAGAATTACGTGCAGAACGAGTAATTATCTTGAAGTTGTCTCACACGAAGCTGAAACGTACTTTACGTACATATTAGAGTGTATAACACAGAATGATAAATGTGACCGAACCATTCGTTAGGTACAATTAAGAAATTGTAGTCTCATAATCAGTTACATGTATTATTCTCGTTATGCATGCTGATTTTATGGTATGTGTATAAAGAAGAACATCGACATTTTTACAGCCAGTGTATGAATTAGAAGGATTAAAAACATCGTTGTAAATTAACCCATACAACACTTTTTTTTATTATTATTTTTAACATGACAGAGATTCGATAGAGATCCAATTGATACGAAAGTCTCGGATATGAAGAGGAACGTATTTCCATTCTTTTCAGCTGTACCGATATTTCAATTAGGATAGTAATTTGTTATTTTATAAGGTGCACATTGGAAGATACAAGCAAACTATGATATTACAAAGATACCTCGGATATAAGTTAAAGTTAATGGCAGTTTCGCGTTTGCCATTTTCTTGTAAAGCATAAAAACCATTCGTAAGACACACGTTATTAACGTATCGGGCTGTGTTAACGCGTTAACTTTTTGTTTAAATCAAACGGTAGCATTCGATTAACCTTTAATCAATTAGAGATCTGAAATTAACTTTAATTCATCTTGAGGTAAATGGCAGTATGTAACTGGCTAAGTGCAAAATTATAATTAAACTGTAGATGCCATGTTGATTGCTACTTTTATAGACTAATTTGCAGAACTGAGAATTAAACAATGATCCCTGTTTCAACAGGGGATCTTATTATATAAAAAATGGGAATTTTATCGGAGTTTTTATTTTTGTATTGACTTCTATATTGAAATATACCAAAAAGCATACACATCTACAGTCTAATTATAATACAGCGTGTCCTGTAAGAACGTGTGTATGATGTCTGTTGTACGACTTAGGAGGATCGTTATAGACGAAGAGGAGACGGCGGTTTTCTAACGGATATCGATTCAAATAGGACGTTACGAATACTCCTGTGCTTAGAAAGAAATGATTAACATTATATGTGTCACATATTCAGTAACAGAGATGGCCAATATTCTATGTGAATAATCAGTGACAAATGGAAGCAATAGAGGTTTATTTGAAGCTATAGTCGCTGGATAAATTTTTACCTAACTTTCTGTTGACAAGTGAAAGATATGTTGTCTCATCTAACAAGTAGAGAAAATGTCTTCAGGTTTCTTTTGTCTATACAACAGTTTTGTCCATCTCTGTGCAAGAAAGATGCCATTCATGCTTAACGCATGTTCACACTGATAGGTACTCACGTGAGCTAGCATAAAACTTTGTAAATTGTGCTATTGCCATAGCGATGAATTATGACATTGTGAATATGATTGTGCTGCACCTGACACATAATTATATAGTATGGAACTGAAATAAATTTATTTACAGAGGAAATTCACTATTTTCACGAAAATGCCTTTGATCGTTATTCGATGAAGTAATTAGAAGCTCTGTTCTTTACTGTATTCAATACAGATGTCAATCGCAGCAGCACAAACTTATTACACTCAAAAGAGGAAAGACTTTCGCCAGGCATGATAGAAAGTCAATGAACAATAATCTGTTTTGTGACACAACACACAAGATATTCTATTCTGCTTGGAAGTCGAAATCTGTCTGCTATGGGAACTTTTTTACAATTTTGATACACGAAATGGTATTAAATAAGATTATCATCAAGGGCATTTGATATGCTTATAATTTCATTTTTATGGTTCATTATCTACCGTTTGTATTTTGCCACCTGTAGATATGTGTTCAGGAAACTCAAGAATGTAAAATGTTATTCTAAAGAGTTAATGCGCTATAGAAGGCAAAGGTATTATATCTTTTGGGATGTTCTGAAAAAAGGAGAGAATTTGTAATGCAGTTCTCGTATGAATTAGAAAAATGAAATACTTTTTGTATTTTTGCAACAGGGTGAACTACATATATTTATTATATTTTTCCCCTGTTTACACTGCATTACAAAACATCTACAAAGTGAACTCTGAACATGCAGCTGCACCTAACGTAAAATAAATTTTTAATAGCTTCTTTCGTATGATTTATGGTTGCTTAGGCAGTCTTATGTGTCAGGTCAGAAGATAGGTTTTATTTGTCATTTTTTTTCAGGAAAAATACACAATACACCAAACTGAAATTTAGAGTTTGTCTTGTACATTTTTGTTCTCAAGTTTCTCATTTAACAGAATGTTTTGATTTTGCAAATTTATGTTAAGAAATCTCCTGAAAAAAGAACTAGAAATTTTGCTTAGAACTTTAAAATGTTAATTATTGTTTAAAAGTATACCTTTGAAACATCGACACAGGCAAAAATCGATTTTTCTGACCAGATATATGAGACTTAATACATACATATAGGAGCAAACGTATTCTCTGTCAAATATATAAGGTGTCCTATCTAGTTTTACTCCCTAAAATATTCCCTCTACTCGTAGTAGTTTGCTATTATGCAAGGAACCAAAGCGATCTTCATTTTTATTCAGCATTGGTGTGTGTTCTTGCAATATAATACATCTAACAAAACTAAAAAAAAATCTGAATAACACCCAATTGAAATATTAAAGGTAATG